AAACAAGAGTAATTGTCGACTGTACGGAATTGTTTATTGAAATGCCATCAAACCCAGCTACTCAGAGTGCCACTTTCTCCTSTTACAAACATCACAACACTGCGAAAGGTTTGGTAGGAATTACACCTGCAGGAACTCTAAGCTTTGTATCTGAACTCTACTCTGGGAGGACATCTGATCGTGAACTTATTAATGATTGTGGGATACTAAAATTGCTTGAACCAAATGATGTCATCATGGCAGATAGAGGATTCAACATTGATGATGATTTACCAAATGATGTAGCTGCTAATATACCCCCCTTTCTTCATGGAGATCAACTAAGTCATGAAGATGAGGTAAGAACAAGAAGAATTGCTAGCAACAGAATACATGTGGAGAGGGCAATTGAAAAAATAAAAAACTTCAGGATCTTACAGCAGATAATACCTTTGAGCATGGCTGCTGATATTAACAAAATATGGACAATATGCTGTTACATTACATTGTTTTTTAAACCACTTGTTATTTCAACAAGTAMAGKTTCTAGTGAAGAATAGTCTGTATTCAATCTAAGTCATCTTTTCTAGTGACTATTCTTCACTAGAAACTTTACTTGTTGAAATAACAAGTAGTCCATGAGCCAAGTCTCAAAAGATGCCTAGAAAATGATTTTCGTAGCACCCCCCTTGGGACAAAGTGAATAATTTTGCATSTAAAATATACCAATTCATACTATGGCCTGCTGCTCAAGAATATGATATAAATTTCAGCTCATTTGGGTCAAAATTGTAAGAGTAGCAGGCCATTGTATGAAGTGGTATATTTTACATGCAAAATTACTCCTGACCCCTGACCCTCAGTGCTCCAATTTGAAAAATGTAAACCCGTGAATTCTAAAAGTTTATTGAACATACTTTCATTTGATACTAGTTTAATTTTGTCCCAAGGGGGTTGCTACAAAAATCCAAATTTGCTCCCTTGGCCTTATTCAAACCACTGATATACAAAAAATGTAAATTAAATGATTTTCTTTATTTTGTACACTGAAATGTAAATAAATTATGTGTACATACATTTTTGAATACATTTATACAATAATTTAAAAATTCTGAATATTTAAAAATTTATATTTAAAACTGTATTAAATTATTTGTAAAATATGAAATCATTATTTGTATTTTATTATAAATATTTAAATAAGATTTTCTATTTATATTAAAAGGGGGTACAGTGAAGAAATAAATCTGTGAAATAAGTCTAACACTGCTGTTCATACTGAAGGCTCGAAGTGTGCAAGTAACATGATAAATGCATTAAGTATAATAATGCAGTCCTGTGTGCAGCCTCTCTTTTTGTAAGGCAGTATATTTTAAAYCAATTAACACATTGAGTGCAAACACATAATACAATTATATGTATAGCTTTGTATTTCACAGTATTTTTTACTATATTCCCCAAATATTAAAAAATAATAATATATACTTATTTCTGAAAAATGAATGATGAATTTTAATAAATAATTGAATTGTAAAATTACTGAAATTCAATAATTTAATTGATTAACAACCATTATTGTTTAGAGCGCCATTTGAAGCTCAAAGTGTCTTTGCAAACTTGAGTTCATACTTTGAACTTATTAAGAGGGCGACCTACAATAACAGTTAAAAACAGTTTGGAAAGTTATCATACTTACAAAAGATATGTAAAGAAGAACCCTGTTAGTTTTGGCAGCATTGTATTCTTCCATAGCTCGAAATCAAAATACACACGTTCAATATGAATGTCTGAAACAGTATAAACAACAAAGTCAATCCAATGTAAATTGCAGATAGCCATAATTCCTTGAAGCTGATAGTAGTAAGGGTGTTTCTTTTTTAGTGAGATAACTCCATTGACATGAGACAGATAGAAATTTTTATCTTCGCAAGCTTCAGCAATTGTAATGTTAATCTTGGAAGATGGACATTTTATTTCAACAGCACCATAAGGTGAGGATTCTTCTGAGGAAAATGCCAATGCATCTGGACTAGCTCCCAACCATGGCCATTTGGGATTTACGATAAGACCAACGCACTCACAAATTTCAACTTTATCATCAAAGGATTCATAATATTTAATGAGTGCACTTTGTTCATTGTCTTTTCCCCATTTACAGCTTAGTGGAATTCGTCTGTTAGTAGAACTACTTTTTATTTTTACCAATATTGATTTAGGGTGGATGCTTTCCCTTCTGTTTAAAACAGAACCAAAATTTGAAGCAGTGAGCCTGGCTTGTCTATGTTCATGCCATTGTGGACAGTCAGCTTGTCCTCTGGTATTTCGTTCAATTTCTAGGGATTCATTTATATCAACTTTATTGAGTATGTTGTTGGCTTCGAGTTGTTCCTGTTGATCTTGGGTCAGAGCTATCAAAGGATCGCCTTTGTCATCAAGATGATCCAAGATATATTTTCTAACATTTTCTGCATTTAAATTATTTATAACTTTTGATTTTTGAAGTAATTTCTTCCTGGATGGTAGATTTTCAGTGTAGTGGTCATAATCAAATGGCTGGCAATTATTATCATCTAGTAAACTGGCCAATGGTGAACTGTCATCAAGACTGCTTCTGAGCCGTTTCAGGTCATTCTTTGTCACTTTGGTAGCAAATGCTGGTGCAGCTTCAAAGTTTGTTCTTTTGCCACTGATAATAGGGCGCTTACGACCTCCACAATCATCTCTCCCACAATCTGCCTTTTCAAAAAGTAAATCCTCAAATAGCACAGCACCTCGTTTCTCAGGACACAGGGAAGGGACATTCCATGACTGTAGCTTTTCAGTACAAGTAACTTTCACAGGAACCTCGGACAATTCAAGTTGTTTATAATCAAGTAATTGGAAAAGAAGAGCAGCTGCATGTTTGCAAACTCCTTCTTCCCCTCCTGGACACTTACAATTAGAGTGGACAACTTTTCCTGAAAATGAGTTCAGGTGAACGTACACATTATAGCCATCTTTTTTCATCGAAGCATTGACTGAGCATTTAACTAAAAATAAAGTATTTTCCCCCATCTTAACATCTGGCTTTACCATCACGTTTTCAACATAACCAGCTTTAAAGATTTTGTAGCCTAGTTTTTTGTTACGGGTCGCTTCTTTGGGTTTATTGTCGACRGAGGTCTCACYGTTTACGAGGTAGTCGTCGAGGTCTTGATGAGCAAAACGCGGCATCTTTGTCAGGTTCCTTGTCCACATACTTGCTTTTACATGATAGGATCATTGAAAACTTTTTTTTTCAAATTTTTACATGTTTTTTTTTATATTTTTTTGTTGTTTTTTTTACGACATTTTGACAAGAGTAATGGCGACACTCCGATGTTTGTTTACATCCGCCATCTTGGAAATGTTACCACAACTACCATAATTCCCTGCGCGCATCGATTATAGCTGGAACGGGCCATTTGCCCATGAAATTTTTTTAATTGCTGAGACGCAAGGCGAAATTTGTGAATGCTTATTCTGACAAATGTTTTCATGATATTCTGCTAGCTTCACTGAAGCCTTACAGTGGAAGAACTTGTTACCAATAAAAATGCGAAGTACTTTAATTTTACGAATTCCCTTACGTACTGTTGAAGTATGTTTTCATTGCCGATAAATTTCAATAGAACAATCGGGGCAATACTTTTACCCTAACAATTTTTTTTCTTTTTTTTTTGTCAGATTCACTAAGTGCTAAATGTTACAAGCAAAGGTTATTACCTTATTCAAGGGATTTTTTTTAGCGCCCCATAAATTTGTTTTTGAAACACGTTTCAATTACGCTGTGATAATATCGGCATACCCTCTGTAATAAAATCTGTCAGTCAATTTTAGACCATAATTGAT